CATGATTGCTTGAGTCCAGGGATTGGGGGAAGCGCAAAAGGCCTTTTATATTGGAGATGGTATTGTTCTATATCATGATTGTAGTGGTAAATCACAAGTGTATACATTTGTCAAACCTATTGAAGCCTACAGTTAAAACAGATGCACTTTAATGTGTACAAATTGTACCTAAATAAAGTTGGCTAACAACAACAACTATAGCTGAACATAGCTCCCAAAGAAGAGGAAATAGAAGTGACTTTTCTAAGGTGCTTATGATCTAGGAAAAGGCAGAAGGGCATATCCATGACATGTAGCCCTGCACTGAAGAACAGATTGAACCAAGAAGCATATGGACAAGAATTTATCAAGGGAGTGAGGGACAGAGAGAGCATAGAGATCAAGAGAGAGAGATGACATGAACTGGGACCATTATACATTATATATCATTTTAGTAAAGGTCTTATCTCAGTCACACTTCATATATTCTTGCTGACTCCCTACATGCATTAACCTTTCTTCTTCTCCTCTTTAAACTCATATAGTATCTTTAGTTTGTTTGTAAGACCTTATGCCTTATTCTTCTTGAACTGCTACTATTTATTATTACTTAATTTTAAATGTTTATAGATTTATGATATAGGACACAAGCTCCTTGTGGGAGTATTGGACTCAAACTCTCCTACAGTTCCTTTACTGTAGGAACTGAGCAGTTCTCATAGAAGTCCTGCATTCATTTTGATAACAATCAAGGATAACAATTTAGGGTAAGGAAGAGACATCTACATTTTTATGCTTCAATTTAGGGACTAAATAGGGAGATTTGAGGTTTTGAACTCTTTACTAAGTCATTCCACTTCTGCTTCAGTCAAAAGACCATAATTTCTATCAAAAAGCCGAGACCCTCTCCAGAAAATGTCCTTTCTGAGGCAAACTGAAATAGAGTAGGTATAGTTAATTACATGATAATTTCAAATATTAATGATTCCTTCTTTCCAATCAGGAATTTCAGCCCGGTAGTCACATTTGTATTCAACACCTGTCAACTCTGACCAGAAATCAGTTTTCTATTTAAGACACACCTTGACAAGTGGATTAGATGTTCTAGTGAAAGGCAGATAAATGTCACTCATGTCACTATAAATAAAAGTCTAGGCCTGCTTATCAGCTTGTAGGGTTGAGGTCTTACCTTCAACACTTCTCAGAGTGCTTTACACTTTATTATCCTTTAAATGAGGTCTTTTCTATTGGGCTTCTTCCATTTATACCCCCAGAGGGAATTAATACTGTTCAACTCTTTGAAAGATGTGGCTTCTATCATCTTCCTGTCTTTTCCTTTAAGAGACAATCCAACCTGTGGCCTTAAACAGAAATCTGCCAGAATTTTCTCAAATGTCATATAGGGAATGAAATATAGTAGGATCCTTTTATAGTACCAGATATAGGACACCTTGTATTTGCTTTACAAGCAAATCAGGTTCTAGCAGGTTATGATTATTTCTGGTTTGGTTTTGAGTACAGGATTTGACAGATGAATCGATGTAATAGTAAGCATGGACTTAGATCTTATGTTTCTTATCACATTCTGCTCCCTGAAATGGATGTATGTTTGCTAAAGGTGTCAATAGCAACTTGTACACATTTCTATACATATAACACCATTTCCCAAAGCATTTAATAAGTACAAGGTCACTAACTGCACTGCAACAACAACAATAAAGATTCTTATGGTTAAAGAAGTTTAGAGATAGGGTAATTGAAAAGACTCTAAGATGGCCACAGAAATGCAATCTGCTTAGGTCAATTTTACCCATAGTTCTCAATTATTTGACCATAGAATCATTCTCCACATTTAAAGGTATATTATTCACTGTTATATTTTTGGAGGTTGAAGATTTTATGTTTTTGTTTCACTTAAGGTGTGAACATAGATGGACATAGTTTAAAATTAAATGCTCTTTCTCATTATATCAATATATTCTTATCTAGACCTTTAAATGCACTTTCAGTTACTTGTATTTCCAGATTACATTTCTATACCTTCATTTGACTACATTGGAAAGTGCAACAGGGATAGGATTTCATACAATGAAAACATGTTCTCCATTTTTGGTTATCAATATCAAGTTCATTTGTACATGTGAACTACACTTGGTGATAATAATTGAAGACTGTGGCTGGGAAGGTGGCTTAGTGGTAGAGTGCCTGCCTCGCATATATGAGGCCCTGGGTTTGATTTCTCAGCATCATATAAACAGAAAAAGCTGGAAGTGACTCAAGTGGTAAAGCGCTAGCCTTGAGCTGAAGAGCTGAAGGATAGCACCCAGGCCCAGAGTTCAAGCCCCACCACTGACAATAATAATAATAATAATAATAATAGAAGATTGTTTTAGGTAGCAAGGATCATTTGAGATCTGACTACATCAAAATTTTAGAACTTCGAAAAATCAATATTGGTTCTAGAAACTTGTGGATTCCATTTCCAGATTTATGTTCACAGAACTATGAAAATTAGATTGCTCATAATATAGGTGAAGAAATTGAGGCTTAGAGAGGTCAAGCATCTTCACAATGTATTTATCAAGGTTCTTTAGAGAAATAAAACCAACAGGATATGAGAGTAAAGAAATTGTCTCACATGAGTGTGGAACCTTGGCAAAGTCCAGTCTGATGTTGTATTTCAGTAGGCTAGGAAGGGCTGCAGTTCTAATCCAAGGGCAGTATGCTGACAGAAATCATGCTTCATTTTCTCTTTATGGCTAATGTTTCATATATATATATATATATATATATATATATATATATATCTTGCTAAAGATATATTTCTATATTATCTTAAAGAGCTTTATAATTGTCCCTTTCATTCTTACAACCAATGGGAACTTTTTGGGTTTCGTAAAAAAAAAATAATAATAATTAGGACTATTATAGTTTAGATCACACTGTTATATTTAGATTTGGAATATTTTGAAGGCCTGGTCCCCACGTTAGAGCTATTGAGAGGTGACTGAATGGATCATAGAGCTCTGACCTAATTGATGGATTAACTCCTAATGGATTGTGATTGGGTAACTATTGGGAAGTGATGAAAACTGGGAAAATTGGGAAGGCCTGATTGGAGAAAGTGAGTCATTGAGGGCTTGCCTGTGAAGGGTACAATCTCGCCTCAACCTTTTCTTATCCTTCTCTCTCTACTTTAAGGCTCTCATGAGGTACACACTTCTGTTCCACTACACCTTCCTGCCATGATGCTCTGCCTTACCACAGACCCACTACCATGCGGCCATGTACTTAAACTTCTGAAATCATAAGCCAAAACAAATTTTTTTCTCCTTTAAATTCTCAGATTGTCACAATGGCAAAAAATACTAACATAGTTATTTAATTTCAACTTTGACATTTAGATAAAGAAAGAATTCTTATCTAAAAGCTGGGCACTGGTGGCTCCTGCCTAGCTACTCAGGAGACTGAGAGATTAGGATTGTGGTTTGAAGCCAGCCTGAATAGGAAAGTATGCAAGACTCTTATTCTCCCAATTAACCCACAAAAATCTGAATGTGAAGCTGTGGCTCAAATGGTAGAGTGTCAGTCTTGAGCAAATTAGCCAAGGGATAACACCCAGCACCTGAATTCAAGTTCATTTCATGAACTTGAGAATGACATGAAAATTAGTCTCATGTGATAGTCACTATGGTCTAGAACCCACAGGGTTAGGCAACAAAGCAGAGCTCAGAAAGCAAAAGTGATGAAAATTTTGAGTGTTGAGAATTTGTTCAAGCTCAGTGTTTTTTTTTTTGCCAAAAAATTGATGTTAAATTATTATTTCGATTATAATTATTTTTAAATGCCAAGTTCACCCGGCATTTGTATTCTTTACACTAATGTAATCCAGGTGTCAGTGGGACCTTCTTCTCACCCCTTGAAGTACAGACAAAAATGTTTTAACACCATCATGTCCTAACCCTGCTCAAGTCTAAGGTCTCCTTTAATATTATTGCAAATTCTCAACACTCAAAATTTTCACTTTTGCTTTTTGAGCTCTGCTTTGTTGCCTAACCCTGTGGTTCTAGACCATAGTGACTATGACATGATACTCACTCAATTCGAGAAAACCTACACCACTGCTGACACTTTATAGGACATGTTTGGCTGGGGGAGGTGTGATTATATTTAGTCCATATCCACCTGTCAATTTTCAGGGTACTCTCCTTTCTGTCTGTGTATATTGGGTATGTTGGTACTGGGGCTTGAACTCAGGGTCTCACACTTTTGCATGGTTTTTACTCATAGCTGGCATTCTACTATTTGAGCCACACTGGTTTATTGAAGATAAGAGTTTTTTGGATCTTTCTGCTTGGCTTGGCTTGAAACCACAATCTTCAGATCTCAGGTTCCTGAGTAGCTAGGATTACAGGCATGAGCCACCCTTACCCTTCCTTTTTTGGAGGGTCCCAAACCTTAATTTTGTACCACTTCTATACAAACCAACTGTTAAGTTGTTACTAGTAAGTTAGGACTCTTGGCAACAACTAGTTTAGGACATGGAATCAAAGGAAAAGATTATCAATAGATTGCAAAAAGAGAGAGATTGAGTTGTACCCCAACACCTCTTGGAACCAAGGATTCAAACCTGTTCCTCTAATTACAGATTGGCTAGAAGTAGGATTTATAAAAATTTTTTTCTCTAATGAGAGTTTAACTCAGGGCCTTTAACTTCCTAGGCAGATGATCTACCATTTATGCCACACCACAGTCTAAGTCTCAATTCTTGTCTTTCACCTTTGGATCATCTGGAAGGGGCTCTCTTGCTTTCTATACAAAAATGCTGCCTAAGAACTCTGAATGGCTGGACAGGGTCTGCTGTCTGTCCCTGCCCCATCTTGTGTGTTTTTTATAAGAATACAGCACATCCCGGGGGGAACCAAAAATACTTGAAGAGCAGGGGCTATTTCCAAGTAAAATGAGGAACTCACCATAGACATAATACACTGGAATAATTTTTATTATCTTTATATAAAATATGGAATAACCACTTCTCTGAGTTTTATACTAACAGTTTAAACTAAGTGCCATCAAACCACAGAGGAGGGGGCAAGTGTCTGCTGGGTAGCAGGGAGAAATACTTTCATTGAGGCCTCTTGAGATGAGCCTTTAGGATTGAGTGTGATTTGACAAGCCAAGAGGGGATTCAGGCCAGAGACTTTCAGGATTGAGAAAATGGACCTCCTCTTTCCCGCCTCTCCTCATGTGTTGGGGGAAAAAAAATGCACTGGAAGCCATCAAAAAACAAAGGATAAAATGTTACTGCAAGAACAGGAGATTAAATCATCTTTGAACTGAAAACATACAGTTGTATGAGTAAGTGATTCAGAATGTTACAACGTTAACTGTCCATTTATTAAAGAAGAATACCGTACCCTCAGAAAGCTGAAGAGATAAAGGAGGCAATCCCTTAGCTTATGGCTTAGCCTATTCTAAATGCTCAATAAATGTTGGAGAGATAAGCAATTTGTGTGTGTGTGTGTGTGTGTGTGTGCATGCGTGCACCAATCCTGAGGATTGAACTGAGCCTAGGCCCTATCTGAACTTTTTTGCTAGCATTCTACCACTTGAGCCATAACTCCACATTAGTTTTTGGTAGCTAATTGGAGATAAAGAGTCTCACGGACTTTGCTGACTGAGCAGGCTTCAAAACACGATCCTCAGCTCTCAGCCTGCTGAGTAGTAGGGACACAGGTAAGCCACTGATACCTGGATGAGATTAACAATTTTTATACTCACAAAAAAATGCATCTGGATGGCTGGATGGATGCTACTTGATGGCTAAATTCTGTAACTAAAGTGAGTGATTTATGTAAACCAGACCCTATTGTAAAATACCTTAAGAATCCTCCTTCTCATAGTTTTGGTATTGCGCTGTAATAAAAAAAACAGAAAAGAAATCAGGACACGGAACTAACGATGGGAGTTTAGCTGCTTCAACCCTAGCTTGAAAAGAAGGTAAAATGAGTCATGCTTTCCTCAAAGAAGCGACCTCATGGGCAGAGACGTGCTCTCCAGGGCTGGCAGTGAGGATCTGTCCCAGCCGAAGGCAGGGGACGTGAAATCCGAGCAAGCAGTCACAGAGAGTGACAAGTACCAGGCGAGGCCAGGCGCAGCCTCCCCTCCACCACCCCGTCGGCCGCAGGGACCAGCGCTCCCACTACCACACCGGCCAAGTTACCAGCAGCCCAGCGCCACAGCTTCCTCTGCGAGGGGAACGTCCTTCCCGACTTCCCCCGCGGCGACGCGGTGACGTCACTGCCGGTCTCCGGCGCGCACGTGGGAGGAAGCGCCGCTGCCAGTGGCCGCCACTCCGCCCGTCTCTTAGGTTACACTTCTCCACCGGCCTCGGCCGCTGCGCCTAACTGTGCTGCCGCGATGGGAGTCCCGGCGTTCTTCCGCTGGCTCAGCCGCAAGTACCCGTCTATTATTGTCAACTGTGTGGAAGAGAAGGTGAGGAGGCACCCGGAGGCCGTCCGGATGAACTACCCTCCCCACCCCCCCACTCCCGCCTTCGCCCCTCCCCCCCCCCCCCCCCCCCCCGCCCGCTGCATCTCTAGGCCGCGGGCCCTGGGTATGGGGTGTTCGCCTGACCTGGCCGGAGCCCTGGCCTTCCCGCCAAACCCCTGGGCCGCGGTCGCACCGCACGCCTTAGACGTGTTTTGAGAATTAGGGTGCGCGGACGTATCCTGGGCGGGGCCTGTGGCTGGGCCTGAACCCGTGAGCCGCGGGGCCGCTCCGCCCCGTCCCGCTTTTCCCGGCACCGGAAGGCTCCGCCCACGGCTTTGTTTCCTCCGGAGTCCGCGCAGTTTGGGGACTTGGCCCCGGGGGTGGGGGGGGGGAGGGGAGGGCTCCGCGGAGGTTGAGCGGCCTTCGCCCGCGCTGCGGGGTTAGCAGGTTAAGGGTGCACGCGCAGAGAGATCCCTGCTTGTCTCGAACAGTCGGAAGACTCATCGCTGGCGGTGAAGTCCCTGCTCTTCACCATCCAGCGAGGCCGTGTGTTGTCGTAAAATCATAAATGTGTGTGAATTGTTCATACGCCCATCCCAAAGTAGAAAAGGTCTCGGACTAGCCCCCAAGGGTCCCGTGGCGGTCGTTGAAGTTATCAGGAATCTTAGGCACACTCAGTTCAGAGAGGAGACTTTTGGTTATGTATCCCTTCAAGCGTATGATGAACTCGTCCGTCTGAGTGTCCGTTGCTTCGGTATCAGAACCACACCTTCCATCTTTTCGTCGTGCTTGAGTCTTACTCTAGTCATTTCTAAGATTCTGCCCGAATTTTGGTTCTGTACTCCTACTTAGACTATCTGGAGGTTCGGGGCATACTTGTCCCTTCCCCTTCTTGCTTCTTGACGGTGAGTACCAAACTGCCCTGTGAACTTCTTTTGCCTAAATTGCTAAATAAGATCTTGGTGGGTTTTTTGTTTTGTTTTTTTGGTTTGTTTTTTACGTTCTTGGCCCACGTGTTTTTCTCAAAAGAGTAATTGCCAAGCTGAGTGCTTATGTTTTATGTAAAAACTTTTATCAAACCGCATTCTCAGCCGGGCGCCAGTGGCTCATGCCTGTAATCCTAGTTACTCAAGAGGCTGAGATCTGAGGATCAAGGTTCAAAGCAGCCCAGGCAGGAAAGCCCTTGACAGTCTTACCGCCAATAAACCACCAGAAAAGCGAAAGTGGCTCTGTTGCTCGGTAGCAGAAGAGCTTAAAGACAGTGTCCAGGCCCAGAGGTCAAGCCCCACAACCGACAAAAATAAATACATAAACGGCTTTCTCATGAGCTATACTAAAAAGCAACAGTTCTTTTGCTCCACTCTTCCCCATCTATATGTTCTGTCCAGAGACAGCCACTTTAAGCGATTCAGATTCTAACACCAGTTTAGCTTGTGAAAGGAAAGAATTCAGTGTCACTTCTCCAGGTCCTCCTTTAATGTAAACCACTGTCATTTCTTTTTAATTTTGAGTTATACACCTCTTTTTTTAATTTTTTAATTCCATCACTTGTATGTATAAAGTACCCCTTGACCTACTGGTTTCTAAGGTTGGTATTAGGTTTTTTTTGCCCCTACTGCTCTTAACCTTCACACCAAGTTTGTCAGTTGTCTTTTTTTGTTTGCATCCAAAATTGTCAGGGATTTGGCTGTATAAGTTTATTTTGAAAAACAAACTTGAGAAAACTTGAGAAGTGAAAATAGTTCTTTGATTGTGATCCCTGTACACATAGTACGTGCTGTGATTGTTTCTTAACGTACATAGTACGGGCTGTGAATCTGTTTCTTAACTTTGTTTTTCTTTTTCCTAGACCTGCCCTCCCCCCCCCCCTTTTGTACTTTTCCTTAAATTATTTATCAGTCATTCTGTGAAGTCCCTTTTCTTTGAGGATGCTCGGAATTTTTTTATTTCTGTCTCTCTCCCTCCCTCTTTCCTTTCCTTTCTTGGTTTCACCCTATGGCCTAGGCTGGCCTCCAATTTGCAGTTCTCTATCTCAGCCTCTTTAGGTTCTGGGAACTTGTAATTATGTTCGCTTTTTAAGTCCTGTTTATTTCTGTGCTAGTTACAGAAATAAATTCTAGATCCTTATTGGGAAGCTGCTTTCTGAGATTTTCAGCAGGAAGTATGTTTTCTATATCGTTACCTTTCTTGCTAAAATTAAAACTTCCTTTGTTTTTATTCTTTATTGCATTTTTAGTAAATGCCATTGGGCATAGAAGTTTTCTGTCATTGTAGGCCACAGATATCTCCATTCTACCCTATACATATGCATGTTAACTACCTAAACATGGAGTTCCAAGTTTGAAAATTGTTAATACACTTACTTAACAAAATTCAAGGTTAATGAGTTTTTATGTACGTAATTAGTGATTTTTGCATAAGTTAGCATGTACAAGTTCCTATTCTAAGCATTTTATAGATGATAGTTTCTCAGATCCTCAAAAGAGCTGCATAACTTATTATTTATTATTACAAATCAGAAAATTGAAATAGGAGGGTAAAGTATTATTCTCAGATAACATCAGAGCTGGTATAGGAGGCAGGAAAGCCATGCACTTAATATTTACTCCCTTCCTTGTTTTTCCTTCTTTCATTCTGATCAGTTCTTTCTGAATTTTATTTTATTTTAATTTTTTTTTTTTATTTTTTTGGTCTGTCGTGGGGCTTGAACTCTGGGCCTGGGCGCTATCCCTGCACTCTTCAGCTCAAGGCGAGCGCTCTACCACTTGAGCCACAGCTCCACTTCTGAATTTTATTTTTTAAATTAGTTTTTGAGAACATGGCTTGCTGTTTAGCCCAACTGGCTTGAATTGCTGGGTGCTAGCAGTTTTACTGGCTTAGTCTTCCAAGTGGTTGAGATTACAGGCATGCCTAGTTTCTTTCTGAATTTTAAACTTTAATGATTATGGACCTAAGTATAGATTTTAAGTTTAAATTCTGTTCTCCCCCCCACCCCCCATGTACTTGAGTATGTAGTCCAGACTAGTTTCTTTCTTTTCTTTTTCTTTTTTTTCTTTCCTTTTTTTGGGGGGGGGGAGGAGGGGGGTCCGGTCATGGGGCCTAAACCCTGGACCTGGGCGCTGTCCCTCAGCTCTTCTTTTCTTTTCTTTTTTTTTTGGTGCTGGTTCTGGGGGCTTGAACTCAGAGCCTGAGCACTGTCCCTGAGCTTTTTTGCTTAAGGCTAGTGCTTTAGCTACAGCTCCACATCTGGCTCTTTAGGTGGTTTAATTAAGAGATAAGAGTCTTGAGGACTTTCCTACCCAGCTTGGTTTTCAAACATGATTCTCAGATCTCAGCCTCCTGAGTAGCTAGGATTATAATCATGAACCATTGGTGCCAGACTCCAGACTGGCTTTTTACTGGAAAACTTTCTGCTGTAACATCCCAGGTGGAGTTCTGGGATTACAGATGAAGGTTACCACATCTGGCTTTTAATTGTCTTGATAGGTACTTGGCAAACTCTAAATCTAGAGTCTTGTTATTCAGTGTTAGGGAATGTTCTTTGATAATTTCTTAAGCTTTTTATCTTCCTTCTCAAAACTAGATACTGGTTATCACTGGTAATTTTTCTTGGCTATTGTTTTCTAGCTCTTCCCCCAACCTTCACTCCTATTTTTGCAGCTGTATTGAAATATAATTGACATAAGCATACATTTGAAATGTACAATTTAATACAATGTATATATCCGTAGAACTGTCGCCACAGATAAAAAAACAGTATGGCTTCTGAAGTTTTCCTTTTGTCTCTTTATAATTCTCCACCATCTTTCTTGTGGTTTGTCAACTGTTAATTTGCTTTCTGGCACGGTAAATACCTTTCCCTTTCTAAAATTTTATCGAAATGGCTTTGTACAACATATACTCTTTTTTCATAGCTTACTTTCCTGTAGCGTATTTGAGATTTATTCATGTTGATAGATATATCAATAGTTCATTTTTTTTACTTGCTATGTATCCTGTTTGTCCAGAAGTAGATCTTCCTGCCTGTGCCTTGGGAGTACTAAGATAGGCTGTACCATCACAGCCAGCTTTGTTTTTTATTTTTATTTTTTATATTATTCTGTTCTGAGTATACTATATTTTGTTTCTTCATTTCTCTGATTGAATTGAATGCTTGGATTGTTTCCAGTTTTGGGCTATTACAGAAAACATTTTGTACAAGTCTTCATATGGACACAGGCTTTGGTTTCTTTGGAGGGGGTTCCAGAAGTGAGATTGATTTGTATAATAAGTTTGTGATTATTTTAAAAAGAAAAACTTGTATTCATAAACTGCTTTATTAAATGTACCTCCTTTATATAACTACTTAAAGATAAGAAAGAAATAAGAAAAGCCTGTACTTTTCCCAAATTTTAAAATTTTGGTTTGTGTTTTTTATTAAATCATACACAATTGTTGAATCAGTAAGTCAGACACTTGATACAATAATATTAAAGTGGCTAGGCAGTAAAACTCTAGCACCATATTCGTCCAAAGAGCACTGGAGCAAGTGATTACATTTTGCCATTTATAATTCCACCTTTTGGTATTTTAGGTTAGGCAACTTCACCTTTTCTGTATAACACTTCATCCTTTTCTCAGTATTACCATGAAGTCTTAACACAAGATGAGGGGTAGACTTTTTGAATGTTCGAAACAAGTATGACCATCTGTCAGACCTCAGACTTTGCTGATCAAGAGAAATTTCTTCCTTATTCTGGATCTTGGCCTTTACATTTCCTGTTGTATGTAAGGCTCAAACTTTTTTTTAAAATAAAAATCTGCGTCTTGAGCTGGGTGC